TTTTCGTTGTTATCGCTTTATTCTAGAGTAGTTCTATCAATTCCCGTCAAAAAAGGGTACCCTAAATTTATTGCTAACGGTGCCTTTAAGTCAAGCTGGGATTCCACTTGCGGACTGCGCTTGTTGCAGTGCGTCATTTGCCACTAACCGTCTCCGCTCAATGTATGTATACTAGCAAACGGTATATACTGCGATCCTGACGCCAGATAATACACCTGATGTCCAGGGCATGTACAATAGCTCAACATTTTTGAATACTTTCGTTAAATAATACTTAGTGGCTTTGTGAATTCCGCCCATTCGGCGTACCTCACTCCGAAAAGGTAAAATTTACCGCTAAACGGCACCTTTGCAGAATTGAAGAACAGAGCAGAGTTGCAACTATTTCAGGGCAGGTCTGCACGAATGCCGCACGAGTTTTCGTTCAAAGGGGCATATTGAATGACTTCACCACAGAGCTTCTGAAGGTAATTCCTTACTTGATGACAAGCTCCGTTTTCCTTACTGAATGCTACAATCCAAAGTGCGGCTTTGAAACGGGTAGGGTTCCTTGTTCACCATGTTTACCATTAATATGTGTAAAGAGTCAGCAATGAAATGGAAAAATGGCTTAAAACCAACGAAACTCGTTCCCACGCATGCAGTCCATTCAGATTTATCCTGTTTTCAATTTTCGACTATTTTATGGTATTCTGAATAGAAGTTGAATGCAGGGAATCTCAGAAACATGACTGATCAAAGCTAAAAGACTTAATTCCTCTTATTTACCAGTATCAATCAAATAAGCGGTGAACCCAGTGAAATTTCGATCATGGCTTCGTCACTTCATATCAAAACTAAAAGATAATTTGTCGATTTTAGGAATGTGACGAGAAATTGAAAATCGGCGACCCTCTACTTGAAGATACACGGGTCGGTGCCAACATCAATGAAGATCATATGAACAAAATCCTTGGATTCATTGAAAGTGCCAAAAAAGAGGTAAATTCATACCAGCTGGGGTTCACTTTCGGGATGCCTCCACAGGCTGGAATGAGCAAGCTGCTTGTTCGAATCTCGGGACAACTTGACAAACTCTTACTTCGGGGAGGCCTTGGGCCGCCTGAGGTGATACGGGTCTTAGTCGAGAAAAACAGACTTGGTAGAGAAACGGTGTAATTTAATATTCTACTCTCAGGGTGGTCAAGTGCTCCGTGGAGGTCGCCGTGTCCATCCAAAAGGCGTCGAAAATGGTTTCTACATTGATCCAACTGTTATTGTTGGACTGACGGTTTGATTTACATAGCTTAACTTGTATTCCTGACATTTCAAGGATTTCCCGAGTCACCGCAACTCCCTTTTCGAACTGTAGCTGGTAGAAAAGCATACCGGGGAACCGCTCGCGAATTTCCTTCATTTACAGGATGACGCCCATGCCGTTCGGGAAGAAATTTTCGGTGCGGTCTGTTTGATTCTCCCATTTGATACTGAAGACGAAGTGATACATAGGGCGAATGCTACCATGTACGGTCTAGCCGCAGGAGTTTTCTCTGGGTAAATTGTTCTTTCAAGCTTTCGAGAATTTACAAGAAAATTCAGTCTACCTCATGATTCATCATGAAGATTCATATTACAGGAATTTGGCTCGTTGCCATCGAATTGCCACTAAGCTGCAGGCTGGCACTGTGTTCATCAACACGTATAATGATACCGAGGTAAAGAGGTTACTTTATCAAAGTAGCAGGTGATGAGATGATGCCGGGGAAATCTACGTTGGGTAGCCAAGTTGAACCTTTCTTTATCTCTTGAGCTTGATCGTAATTCTGAGGTTGCTTTACCCAGCCTCCCTTTTGTGTGAGCTGCTGTAGCTAGGAAAAGTAGGAAAGGGTCAAAAGCTGTACAGCGTTAGTGGGTCAGCCTTCATGCATCTAATTATCTTTGCACGAAAGCTGAAAATTATCTATTTTCCAGTTTCCGGAGGTTACTATTACTTGAGATGTCTTCCCCATGCAACACATGTGGGTGTGGTGCATTAGGAACGAAATGGTCGCGTCGCGGTGAGAGGGGCGTCGCGCGCGAAGGAATGTAGAGGATGCAGCAGCAGCTAAGAAATGCAAGAACAAAAGTACTAATAATAGAATTATGCATAAAATAATGATCGCATATCGATTGAGCTGTATGAAGAACGCTAGAGCTGCAATAACGGCAAATGAGTGGTCCGCGACAGCCGCGTGCGGCAAATCGATTACCTAAAATCGTTCCTAACGCCCGTCTCCCATCACATGTACCTATCTGAGCGCGCACTGTAAGGCTCAGATTTGATTACCATGGGTGCCGTGGGTGATTACGTAATCAAATCTGAAAGCAATACCACGGGTGAGGCATCTTCTACCTCGGGTGAGGGTTCTTCTACAGAAACGGCGTGCAGCATCCAATCGTGCGCAGTCACGAAGTGCGAAGAGGAAGAATTCCAGTGGAACTTTACTATAATTGCCGATGTTTGTGGGAAATCCAGTAGACGTACCGCCGCTCCAGAACCATTGTCTCTTACCGACCTGCAATCGTGGGAATCTGGGTGCGATGTACTCACCCCCTTCGCATAGTTGAGCATAAACACACAGCGAGGATTGCTTGTCAACGCTTCTGTATTTGTCAAGCTCTTCAGGATTGGTGAATATTATCGATAGCTTGTAGATCAATCTACTAAATTCACTTGAAAAACCTCTACGACCTTTTGAGGAAAGCATACTCGGAGATAAGTTGGGTTACAGCGAGCCTCACGCTACTAGACGGTTCTTAATTGTTCTTGATCACAACGTCCAATCTTCAGCCTGAGACATTCCGCAGCGATTTTTGTCCTTTGTTCTCTTACGTTTTGCATTTTCAGGTAAATGTACCGTTCGGTGGTTACAAGAACTCAGGACATGGACGAGAAAATTGCCTTGATACTCTGAAAGCCTATACTCAAACGAAAGCAATCTATGTGAATATCCAAGATACCACAGAGCACTGTTTCTAGATAGCCAGTGTTCGCCCTGATGAAGTTTAGCTCGTTTACAATTGTATAATATTTATCTTAAATACTAATAAATAAAGTTTGCTAATAAATAATTTGCCTAAAACTAGCTTCGATCGATCGCGTTCATACACCTTCCATCCCGTTAATCAGATACAATAAGAGGTTACCGAGAAGTGAGCTGTGAAATTTCTGATATACGGAAGAACCCTACTCTGTTTTTTTTACAAAGCATAACGCCGCTAAAAAATCACCTGAAGAACAGTGATCAAATTGAACGTTTAAATATTTTATTTTAGTCCTATCCCTAGGCCTAGGTGTCGGTTCATCGAGAAGCGAAAGAGTCAATTTGGCGTCGCCTTTTGAATGGAAGATAAATGGAAGATTGGCGTTTTGCAAAGTTATTGACTGTTGGAATGGCAACAAACTTCGTTATGTCACGACTATTTCTCTACCAACTACATGTATTGAGGAGTAGGTTCTCAATGCCCCGATGTCCAGCCACTGGCAGCTCTGTTGACTCACTTTCGGCAAATGAGAGACGGCTTTCATTACTGATATAGAGGAGGGTTTAAATCACATTCAGCCTATCGTAAAAGCGCTTCCAAGTTGATTGTACTCGGAATCAGAAGGCATAGCTTCTGACTTTGATCGACCTTGTTTTATTGGGATGCGTCTTTTCCTATAGACTTCCATTTAAAACCGTATTGGTGTTTAGTTTTGAGCGTATGTGACCTATACAATGACTTACGTTGCCAACCAATAAATAAAACAGTGCATTTATCCTTCCAAACAAGTCTGTACTAATCAACCCATTCAGAGGGATGATAGGTTCGGTAGGCTTCGGCAATCACCAACCAGTGACTTGATTCGGAAACTGTGACAATGCACTACTTGGCTCTACCCCATGGCTTCCTTATCTTAACACGCAGATAAACATCTCAAGTGGAAGTTAAAACGTGAATGGTACCGTAAAAGCAGCAGCAAGAACATTTTACTCCACTCAAAGTCGGCTCACCTCGAGGCTGTGAAAAGTGCAGTAATTCGAAACATGTACAGAACAGCTAGAGGAGTGTGTACAGGCGAAGTGGAATGGGAGGAGTCACGTAAGCTAGCATCTGGGATTGCAAACCTAAATGGCAGAGAAAGTCAGGCTCAAAAGGGCATCCGCTGAGAAATCACGAGAATCTTATGGTGCATCTCCGACTGCCCTTTATATCAGACAAAG